AAATTAGAAAATATCAAAAATAGGAACATAGGAAGTCATATTTTTTAGAGAATTATTTTATACATTTTTAAGATAAAAGACTGCATCTACGCACAAACGTTTTTAATCATATATAGCAATAAATACAATGAAAAACGATTCTGAGCAGAGACTGTCTGACTGTCAGTCTATATTATTCAATGGATATTTATTGTTTTCTATATATTTATATTGTTATTCGTAATTTTTTTTATTTTAAACGTAATAACTAATAATAAACCTAAGTCGAAATAATTCTTGCCAATTACAAATCGCATAATGTACTATGGAATAGTTGTTATAATATAATTTCACCTAATATTACTATAGCTGTTATTGACTTATAAATATAAACAATTTTAAAAATGTAATTGTGTAAAATAAATAAAAATATATACGTAATGGTAAAAAGCTCCAATGTTTTACGAATTATATTTTAAAATTAACTACAACAGCATAATAACTAAAATCCTTATTTTTCGTTTAAAAATCAAATTTCTTAAAAAGTTGAACTTTATCGTTTTATACAAAAAAGTACTATAACAATGTAGTTTTGATATTTTAAAATTGTGATAAGAAAAACTTATAAGGAACCTTGTATTAAATGTTTAAAAATTTCAACTCACAAACAATAATTTAGTCACATATATTTTAGAAATAAATGTTAAAAGTCAAATATTTCAAACGTCTATAAATAGCGCACTAAGGAACCAAAATATTTTGAAAATTATATCATATCTAGAAAAAGCTAATAAAAATATAGAAAAAAAAATGTGTACAATTATTTTTGAATTATAACAAAAAACCAAAATTGATTTTGGCAAAACTGGTTTAGAGTAAAAATTATCATTTTTCCGTAATTGTGTTCATTGTTCCTAATTATTTGGAAAATCACCTACTATTTTTATTTTTTACCCCTTAAATTATGAACTTCAAACTAGATTTAATTTTCTACCGCATAAGCCACCCGAAAAGACAGGGCTTAGTAAACATCGAGCCTATATGGCTATATGCGAAACGTTTTTGCGAGGCCTATTTATTGGTTGTTATGGCAATTACTTATTTATTTGGGACCTCAAAGATAGTTTGATTATTTTAAACCTACTGATGAGTTTGAATCATTAGCTGAATTCATGATTACATGAACTATGGACGCATTTCGTTCAAGTCGAAAACACTAAGATTAGGGTGAAAATTGTCTCTGCAGTTAACATTTTATTTAGTGATGGGAATGAACAAAATCCAATTTTGTAACTCACTATGTATTATTTACGTACATCAAAAAAGTTAATTTAATTTTTACAATGAATCGAAATAAAAATTTTTAAAACGTTAAAATTAAAATAAATAAATATTAATAAAATCAATGGTTCGTAATATGGAAGATTATATATTAAATTATAAATGCTTCAATCCTCTCGCTAGTTTTGAGGAAAACTCTAAAACTAAGTAGTAACTACAATACTACATCATTATAATCTATGATTTTTGCAAAGTCATGTTAAATTAATAGTAGTAATAATTAAGTGAATCTTTCTTGGCTGATTGTTGATCTTAGGTAGTTTATACTGCCCAGTGCCCCCACTACACTCTGTTCAGAATAAAAACGTACCGGGTGGTGGACGAAATTTGGTTCTAGCCGTTTACGCATCCGCCGCTCTATACACAGAGCTCAGACCATTTACCGTTTACAACTCAAGCCCTGCCATATGTCTGAGTGTGGTGCGTTTTTATTCTGAACAGAGTAGGTACCTATCCGTTTATGATGGCCAGTTAAAAACGTAAGCGTTTTAAACGAATGGTGATTTGGTGACCAAACCCATCCATTTTAATCTGTTGGCAAAGTATGAAATTAATATCCAATAATTTATTTTGCAACAGGCTTTGGCCCGTTTGACCTTTCAATGCGCGGAGCCCTGTGTCACAGCATAGTTTGAACAGCCCGTTTTCCACTAAAGGTTATATTCCGATTTCGCCAAAAAAATTAATTTATTACTATTTAAGATATTTTTTGAGAACATCGCCTGAACCGAAATCCATCGAAGGTTAGGTCGTCTCACCTCGTATAATGTCTACTATATCATATCAAGATCACTATTTAAGAGTCGAAATAATACATTCACTCATAAAATTTAACTGCATAAAAAGTACAACAATTTAAAATATGGATGCCAATACGAATACCGTCGAAAGGAGACTTTTTGTTGCACCTCCACAACGTAATACCATTTTGAGATGTATACCTATACGCAAGGATAAAATTTAAATGTTAATAAATGAGCATAATATACGCATTGTTAATACATAAATATTTTTAGAATCATACAATTAAACGCAATCAACACAGATTAGTAATTAGTTTAAAATCAATAAATAATTGTTCGCTAATTTTGTCAGAGTATCAAGAGAATGGATTGAAGTTTTCATCAATGTCATCAATGTGTTTCATAAACACACCAAATACGGGTTCCGGCTACAATGAAATAATAATAATAATAATAATAATAATATTACGAGACACAAAAAGTTCTCAAAAAATATCTGAAATATTATTTTATTTTATTTTGGTGAAACACAGACATGGCGATAACGAATGAGTGTCACTTTGGCAGAAAACGGAAACCCTTTTTAGTTGTGCGGACCACCAATTTTGTAAAAAAAATCTCTGAGGCCTACTTATATACGTAAGCACATATATATATATACATACGGCAGTTATAATAATATTATATGGTTCACGGCCCAGTATCAAGCTGCTAGCGGCCCATGGGTTGGGAACCGCTGTATTATATGATAGGTATAAAAACTATATATATAATAATATGAAATTTATGTATTATGTACAGGGCTATAAAGTGAATCACGGATTGTCGATTGATAACCCGAGTCTTAAGAGGCCAGCAGACAGCAGTTATAGGAATACTCAATCTCCAAAATATGCAGCATCTACATATTTGACATTTTTTTTATTCCTAAAAGTATAAGATTTGGTTTTTTTATTTATTAATTTGTATCATATGAATTCATATTTCTCATATATTTTATTAATTCAAAACATAATTAAAAACAGTCAACGCGTGATTGGACATGATGTGTAGAGTATATATATATACATATAGGTAATATAAAATAATTTCTATTTGGCTTTTGTATTTATGTTATAGAATAATGGCCAATGGGTCCCCCATGAACTGAGATCCACGTTGTGATTTTGACGAGAAAATATATCCAAGATACTATGTTACAAAAATGATATGTTGTAATTATATTATTTATAAGCGTTCGTAAATAAAGACCGTCAAAAACCACTGCCCTGCTGAGTTTTGGAATATTTTTTCGGGTGCCTTATATGCACACACGCACGCACGCACGCCCGATCACCAGCATCTGTGATTATTATTATACACCAGGTTGGGGTGAAGTGGTTTGTTCACCGTCCAGAGGCTGATGGTATAGTATTGTGGCGAGGGGGTGAAGGAGCGGTCGCGCGCGCGTATGAGTCGTGCAAGGGAGAAGTATACACCGTGGATAGTGCATGCGAGCGAGCGGGGATGGTCCGTGGGCGTTATGTGACGATGCAGAGTAAGAGGGTAACCATATAATATGGATAGATGGTGGAGGGGAGTGTTTTGTGTGCAGGACGTGGAGTTATGGTCATCGATCAAGCGCGCTGTCAACCTGAAACACCCAGCACAGAACCTGCAGGGTATCCCTTTGGCGATCGTATATACGCGCACACACACTCGGGATATTATTCCGTTTTCCTCTCGCGGATATATAACCGCAGCCCGGGAGCCAACCAATTAAAACAAAAATTAAATAATTGTTTCGGGTCATTGCTGAAGGAGATTGATGGTGTGTTTGGAATAAACACTTCTTCGCCCGGTGTATATGAGCCCTGTACGAGCTGGGAGGATGGGCGCGCGGTCGTTGTCCGAGTAGACATTTTCCGGACAAGACGTTTTGACGCTCGCCACATATAAACCTATATACCTACCTGGGCGAGTATAGGACTCAACAGAAAGTACCTACCCACATATTAAATACGTTCTACTGGAATATGTACATTTTATACACTCAGTGTGCTCAAACATATATTGTATAAATACTACGAAATATACGTTATCGTTATTTAATTTTTACTATTATGGCTGTATATACCTACATTATGCAATATGCTTATACTTATACCCAACTTTATACAAAAATGAATACAGTATAATAGTAGGAAACTTATGTATTTTTAGACTTCGGTGTAAATACACTGTAACAATGAGTGTGCATCCTTTCAGAATAAAATTCATCGAGATTTATATTTTATACTGTAGTATGTTATACTATAGCAGTATAGCACTATAGCTTATACATTTTTTACAGTAATAATAAATCATTTTTTTTCCATTTCATAGTTTTACTTTTTACTTCCTCATAATACATGTATTGATCATTAAATATTAATTTGCGAAGTATTAAGCTCTATTGAATTTATTTATTAAATTATAATATACGATATTGTATGATATTTTAACAAAAAAAGTTGCTTAAGTTCCCCAAAATTGTACCACTCAAATTGAACAATTTCCGGTATTTTAGGTTTAAATGAAATACATTTAATGTTTCTGTTTCAATTTTTAAATAAAAAAGTGTTTTTTTATCTATTATCCTTTACTATGAATAAAGTATATAACATTTCTCAATCGTTACTTTAAATATATAACAGCGAAAAAAACAACCCATACTTTCATCAAATTCTAAATTTTGAATATATTTTTATTTTGATACACATTTTAAATTCATACATTAAGAGTTGATCCAAGATATTAAAACACAAATGTTATAAAGTAGGTAGCGATTTTAATCAAACAGGTATAACAAAAAGTGATTAGGTATAAGAAATAATTATCGATTATAAAGGAAGTAACAATAATCGATATGATTGTGACGTATAAAAATGTTATCAGTAGTTTGTGTAAGTGGGTATAGTGTTTTGTATTCAGATGTCAGTAGGTAGTTATGGTACATTCGGTTGGTTTGACTATAGACACTGGATGACCAGCCAATGATGCACTTCAATAGCAATTTTTTGGATGGTAAATAAATAGATCTAATTTGAAATGGTAAACGACATCGCCTTAGAGACGTGGACCAAGAATGGAGAATCAACGTAATTATACACTATAATTTAAAATGTTTTTTAATATAACACTGCATAAATTCAGAACTTAATGTTATTAAATTAATTATCATATCCATATGAAACAAAAACGTCAATTGTGTCTAAGATCTAAACATAAATTATAAATACATACCTATTAATCTATTATTAATTATCAATGCATGCCTTTGGGTTAAATTTAATTGTAACATTCACATATACTTTTTTGTTTTTTTTTTCAGAGGTCTGCTTCAACATAGAAACGATAAGGGCACGAAACCTATGTATGACTACAGAAGTCAATATTTGGTTATTTTTGTAATATTTTCCGTTCTGATTATCACGTTCTTGGTATCAGTTATCAATTTTTGGTCAGACGATGACCAAAACATTCAGGTAAAATAAAATACTATAATCACACATACAGCTATATGTATATAATTGCATGATGTAATTGGTCGGACTATAATTTTATATATTGGTTAAGTTGAGACGTTAGACCTCTTCTTATTTATCAATAAATATGGTCCCCAAGAGGTGAATTCATAGAAAGGGGTCAAGAGTCGACAACCATTTACAAAAACAGACATTTTCAAATAGTTTGTATTACAGACTACAGTAACATATTAAAAATCCAACCATGTTTCAGTAGTTCTTATGCAGTTATGCGAATGTAAAACAATTTTAATTATTTGTATGTTTTTGTGATTCTGATTCTGTGGCTTAAAATCATTAATATATTCTAATAAACTTTTAAATATTTACATATAAGCTTTCAATAGATGACAGCAACAAGTAGCAAATTAAAAGCTACAAAATAAAATATTTTATTTATGTAAAGCAACAACATTATTGACCAATATTAGAGTTTATGAACGATTATAAAATGTACAAATGAAAATACTGCCCAAGACTTAATTGAGTTATTCAGTATTTAAATTTATCAACTTTATTAATCAATGTATTACGTATGTAGTATATAATACTATAATACGTATATAATATTTATTATTATGTAATACTTAGTGAAATAATTACAATATTTCAAAACCATAACATTACTTCTTAGGTAATATTCTCACATTTTCATTTAATAATTGTAAATCAAATTAATAGATTTAATATACAAACAGAACCAGTGTTGACCCCAACCACTGTTAACTGTTAGGTAGGTATATTAATTTGATATGTTACACGTACCTTCTATTATCAGAGATAATACATTGACGTAAAACTGTTAGACAAACTCTTATCAATCGTCATTATAATCTATAAATGTTTAAATTGATGGAATTAGTTTCTTTAAATTTGATAAAATAAATATAAATATAATGAGGTCAATATAAGATATAGGTATTATAAAGAATAATAATATTGAATAAGTTATACTTGTATGTATAAGTAAATTAAGAATATTATAGCTCTCGCTCTATGAATTAGCTTATGATTTATTACATATTACTACAATTATATTTTGTAGACACATAAAATATGTATATTAGGTTCATTAGCAATGAACATAAAATATATTTGATGAAACGTACAAAAAATAATAAATTAAACACAAATATTATGATCGATGTTTCTTTTTACTAACTGCTAAATTTAACATAGCTAAGTTACAATTATTAAATTATCTCCGTGTGATTTTTATTTTAGAAAATGCTTTTGACACAACAAAACAAGTTAAAAAAAGGTTTATACATTATACTGAACAGTCAATATAATTTGTAAATATGTTATATGTATAGATCATAGAACATAGCTGATAGACTTTTATAGTACTTGACACTATTTTTGTTCACACATTTGAAATCGCAGCAAACAATTTAATATCTAGTTGTATATTACACTGAAGATACTTTGTACCTACGTAGAATTTTAATAAAAGAAATAAAAGGAAGTCAACATTTCTCAGATAATATAATTTATTTATATGGGATTTATTGACTATACCTATATGATGGATGTTAATAGATAAATAAGCAATAGTATTACTGTAGTAAAATAATATGTATTAAAATGTATAGGTAGGTATTGCCGAATTGATACATTCAATTAATTAATTTTACATATGTGAAATATGTCAAAGAAAGTCACTAAGAATTGTTGGTTATTATAATGCTGTTTTTTTATAGTATTAAGTACAACTGTTTTTCCAGTGTAATAATAAATAATAATACGTGTATCACAATTAATAACATTTTGATATCAACATTATTTTATAATTTTACTCACATTGTTATAAACATAAAGATTATCGCCTTTATTAATGGGTATTACATTTTTGGAAATAATATTAATGTTTACATCAATATTGTAGTAATTTTCACTTTCTATTATATGGTATAAGTCTAATAAGAATAACAAAAAGTTAACACAAATTTTACATTCATACTTTAAAGGCAATAAATATTTAATATTTCTATTGATAATTTATGTGTTGGAAATCTAGTTGAAATTGGTTTAATCAAACAAAATTCTTAAGAACTCCTAACCACATTTATTCTATAAAATAAAATTATTCGTCCAAAAAAGATTTTAAAAACTTTGATAGAAATCTGTAGAAAAAATATCAAAGCGTTATTAATACTTTGATAAGTACACTTTATTATTTTAACTATAAAATAAATATTTTTTTTCAATAATTTATAATACGATTATGCTTCGTGATAATGCAACTAATACCTATATTGTTTCAAAATAGTCACTTCACGCAATCATTAAAAGTAAAAATCACTTCACTATGAAAAACAAAGAGTATTTCGACCAATGTGCGCCAATTGTCTCGTGTGATTATAGTGACAAATACAGAACTAGCAACGGGACGTGTAACAATCCAAACAATCCAATTTGGGGTTCATCGAACACCCCATTCATCAGACTTGTCGACGCTCACTACAGTGATGGTAATTAATAATTATTGTTTAAACAATTGTTCATATCTATGTGGTATTATATAGATGACATATATTCACATTCCACACAATGTATAGATCAAGGCGGGTATGGATGATTTTTATTGTTGGAGGTGTTACATTTTAATATCAATTATTACTTGTTTAGTATTAACTGTAAAATAAGATAAGCGTATACACAATAATAATAAATAATAATACATCAGTACGCTCACATGAATATAAAGTTATAAACTATTAAGGAGGCTATTATGGATTCTGAAGCATTGCTTGTAAGTTGTAAGGTCTGCATTATATACTTTTGCAGTTCTACCAAATCCAAGTATATCAGACTACAAATCGGGAACGTTGAAATACGACTTAAAACTTTCTTAAAAATAAAACTTTGAAAAAAAAAAATAATAATTAAAATATTCACCAAATCAGTAGGTCAATTGAACTTTTCAAAAGTAATAATACTGCAAATATCATTGTAGGTGTATCTGCCATAAATGCATTTATTTATATACATATGTAGTATATTTAATATTATAGCATAGGTAATAGATTAAATCTAATTTTAGACTACAAATTATTTCGGTGTAATAATTCCAATTTCATCATAAGACAAGAGCAAAGTATTTTTAAATGTAAGTACGTGCAATTTGTACAGGATTGAATTACATTAAAGTCGGTGGACAAGTTTCCATAAAAAACAACTCTTTATAAGTTGCCGGTTTATTTCTATATTATACTGCTACTACTTAAACATACTGTAGGTATGCATTTAGTATTGTTTTGTGAATACGAAAATATTAGAAAGCGGTCTGGCGCTAATAAAAATTAATAATATTGATCTATAGGTGCCTAGATTTGATATAATGATATAACGATATAACATTATTATAGACTAAAAGTACTTTATATAGTCTCAAACGACTCAAACTAATCCATACTATACCTTTCAAATAAAGATTAAATATTAGTATTTTACAATCGTATATTTAATTAATCACAATATCTTAATATGTCTTGTATAACATATCTAAATGTTACATTTTTATATTATTTATACCATTAACTACAATGGTTATTAATTTGTTATCTAACATTCATATTTGCATTATGTTTACAGCATATTGAGTTATAGGTACATTAAGATTTGTTAAAGAATGTACATTTTTTTTTTCGGTATCTGATAATAGACCAATTGTAAGTACTTTTTCCCAGCCCCAAACATTTCAAATTCGGAAAATTTGAAATAGTAGGGCTCGGAAAATGTACGTACCAATTGCTTTATATAGATTATCCGGGACGTTGAATTCATTTTTGGCTAAAGAATATTATTCGTCTTTGTCTTACCTGCATTGTAATTTATAAAATGGTGTTTTAAAGGGATCTCTAAATTACGCACATCATCTGATGGGAAACCATTGCCGAGTGCAAGAGAAATTCAAGTGAAGCTGTTTTTAAATAAGCAAACAAGAATCCCAGACAAAAATAACCAGCTACTAATGCAATGGGGCCAGTTCGTCGCTCACGATGTTTCTAATTTAGGAATTGATACAGAGGGTGAAGGTAACATGATAAAATCATTTCATTTTATTTGTAATACTTTGATTAGATGTATCTACCTCTTGAAATTTGTAATTAAATTACACATACTCTCATATATTTATGTACAGTTAAAATATTTTTTTAGATTGTTGTGCATATAAAAATCAACCTTCGGTTTCAAGAGCATGCGAAGCCACTATAAAAATACCAATAGACGATCCTATATACTCAAAGTACAACACTACGTGCATGAGATTTACTCGGGCAATGACATCAAACAATTATAACTGTCCCTTACAACCATTGACATTTGTAAGTCATTATCATATTATTCATAGTTTATTCTAGAATATGCGGTAATCTATATCATTGGATCAATCTATCAAAATAGTACCTAGGTTTCTATTCTTACTACTATGTCACCAAGTCTCAATGTTTCTTATTTGGCTTTTATAAATGTAATTGTTCGCTTAACCAATTAATAGTTGTTAAAATTCTCTTTACAGATAATATTATTTTACACTTTTTATCAATAATACACTGAATACTCCCAACTCCTTTTAAAATATGTGACCTAAATACATGGTTTTATTTTTATCTTTATTTATTTCAAATTAATTCAAAAATCTCTACCAAGTAGAATACCTACAATATTATATAGCGCATTTTTAACTAAACATTTGTGGCCAATAAAACAGGTCTGGAGATACTGTTCCAATTTTAATTGTTAAAATTTGATTGTACATTATTAACAAATTGAAAACATACTAATAAATTAGTACTTTGGATACTGCATAAAGGTTAGAAGTATAGTTCATCCATATGTTCTGTTCCTAATCCATTTTTGCTAGGTATGTTTTTAATGCATTATTGATAAGTGATAACATAATGTACTTCGAATTATTATTTTTGTTTAAAGTAATCATCTAATTTTAAACGCAAAAATAAATAACAGCCAATGTCTTGTATTTATAGATAGACGATGCTTCACATTTTATTGATGGATCTCAAATTTATGGCTCTAATGATTACGTTGTATCGACACTAAGATCATATACTGGGGGGACGTTAATTTCTGTCTTTGAAAACAGCCAGGAGTTCTGTCCACATTCGTCCTTTGAGTCTTCCGATACCAACAAATATTCGTTTAGATCCGGTAAAATTGATGAAAACTAAGTCCCGATCATGCTACATGTGCTGTAATATATAAGTTATACACCGTTACAGGAGACTCGCGTGCAAACTTAAACCTCGGAATTGCACTTTTTCACAATATGTTTTTGAGATTCCACAATTTTGTAGCGTTTAAACTAAAAATTGGGAATGCTTTGTGGTCTGATGAAAAGTTATACCAAGAATCTCGCAGATTTGTTGGTGCAATTATCCAACATATTACATACACACAGTTTTTACCAATAATCTTAGGTACCTATGTTTATACTAATTTAAAGACGTAATCAAGTTTATATTATTTAAATAAAAAATAATTTACTCTGAAGTGTTTAAAACTTTATTATTTTAAACATAATTCCATAGTATGACCTTATTTAGGCAAAAATTATACGAATGACGAAGTGCTTGGGGGTAGCAATAAATATGATCCTACTGTGAACCCATCTACTTCACAAGAGTTTTCAACTGGCGCATTCCGTGTACTCCACAATATTATACCAGCTCAACATAGGTAAAAATAAAATACACATATTTTCATAAAACTCTCATGTGTGAATAATATTAATATTTATAATTTTTACACGCTACATTTTTATTTTTATTTTTTTGTAGATTTATTGATTCAAATTCCACTACTGTGCAAATAGTCAATGTTACAGACTGGATGAACTGCCCGTATCTCTTACAACAAGGCTCTAACTATGACCAGCTACTTCGAGGTTTATTAAGTACGGAAGGACGCCTGAGTCAACCATCATACAATCCTTTGGTAATGTTTTCTTATTAAATAAATAATAATTGAAAAATACTATTTCAATGTTAACTTGTTTACCTGGTAATATAGCTTCGCTATTTTCGAATAGATCTCAAACTTAATGTTTCATTCGAATAATTCGATTGGCGTGGATCTCCTATCGTACGATATCCAAAGAGGACGCGATACCGGTCTCCCTCCGTACAATAAAATGAGACAATTATGTGGATTGTCTGTTGCTAAGTCATTTAGCGATTTGATTGATATACCAACTGATGTGAGTGACAAGCTTATAAAATATTAATATTTTTTTAAACGACATCGGGTGATTTACTGTTACTATTCACGAGTCCGGTGACTGTAGTTGGAGTAATACAAACTTAATTACTATACGATTTAATAGTTAAGCACCTAAACATCGTCGTATTGCACATGTATTGCAGCTAATTATCCGGTGTATTGTGCTGTGTAGTTGTTTAATGTTCAACCACTTTATGGTTTTTTTTTGTTTCAGGACATTTATGATTTAGAGACACTTTATTCTTCTGTAGATGACATAGACTTCATTGTAGGGGCTTTGTTGGAGACACCAGAGAACGATGCTTTAGTTGGAAATACCTCGCGATGTATTATTGGTGACTTTTTCTATAGATCTCGAGTTGGTGATCGATTTTTCTACGACAATAAAGGGCAGGCTGGTCAATTTTCCAAATGTAACCAATTTATTTTATATTTCAGTATCCGTGGCACATTTGTGTTTTTTTACTTTTAGCAAATGTTTTATATGAATTGTATATTTGAATTTTCAGATCAACTTGAAGTACTCAAATCTATTAATCTAGATCACATTATATGCGCTACTTCATCTGTTGATAACTTGCAAAAAAATATTTTCACTAAAGTTGACAATGGGTGAGAATATATTTTATATTTTTTTTTGTTTTTAATAATATTTTATATAGGTACATATACTTATGTAACAGTTACCTCAACATAAAATCAGCTAAATATCAGGAACTTGAAATATTTTTAATTTAGTTGTTACTTGGATTTTTAGTGAAAATATTTAACACACGACAAGTATCATGGCTTAAATATACTAGGTTATTGCAATAGAATCTCACTATATCATTTTATTGCTTAAATTAATTAAAATTGCAATGTAAAGGGGTCGCCTATAGGTTATATATTTAAGCCATGGACACTACCCTCATGCTGCCATTTTATTTTGTTTGATAATAATATAGGCTATCTGGTTATGTGCAATAACCTTATATTTAAGCCATGGCAAGGACAATACATAGGTTTTAGGACTACTTTACATTAATGATTTATTATTGAATATAAATGACAAGCGTATTCAATACAACTTACCTACTATTATAATACTAAATTACTGTTAAAATAATAAATTAATTTTTAATTTAGATGGTATTCTTCAATGAAGTGGAGATGTAATGAAAAATATATGATCGATTTTAAACCATGGGAAGAAGAAAAGTATGATTGAAGTTACGCTGAAATCAATCATAATTACATCATATAATTTGTGTCTCTTAAGTATCTTCCAAATCTAACCTCAACATAGTACAACATTTGAAATATGTATTCTTAATTTTTATAAAGAGAACAATGTATAATTAAATTATAAAATGTATACATAATTTAGTTTAGTAGTTTTCATACTGTTTATTTCTTCGTCTTAATATTTTATGGTAATATTTTTTATTTTCCAGTTAACAACATTTCAGTATCATATCTTTTTAACACACCACGATAAATACCTTTTACAAGTTTCTTTTGTATTGTCTGTTCTATCTTCATTTGTTTTATATAATGATTAATATTTAATGACTATTAGTATTTAAAAATAGAGTATACACTGTATATATCATTATGTACACAACTGTTATAATAATGAATTTAAGGAATAAAATGTCTGTTACAAAACAAAAACATACTACAGTGGCGTAGCCAGGATTTTTCTATTGGTGGAGAGGGAGGAAGGACTGATAATGTGTTTACATAGTTTGTTAATTTAGAGTCTTGCATAATTTTAACATGCTGAATACTACTGATGTCTAGGTTTTATTTTAAGTTTTGATTCATTGATTTCGGCTCTAGAAATTTGAAATTTGATTTGTATTTGCTTTAAATTTCATAGACCAAAGAAATTGTTTTTTTATTTTCTTATTATTTCGGTTGGGGGGGGGGGGAGCATAGTCGCACCACAGAAACCTCCTTCTGGCTTTTAAAATATAATAATATATTTTATACACACAATGACATTTTCAAATACATGTGTAATACAATGTATACAATGTAATTAATGCAATACTAAATATCAATTTAAGTAAATATTAGTAAAATAAATTACTTTAATCACATATCATAACATTAGATACTTTGTTACATACTACAGTGACTTCTCTAGATACCTAATGTACAGCAGAGAGTTACTCACTTTTCCGCTTTTTTTAATTATTTTTTTCTTAAAATATCGATAAACAATTAAACAGTTAAACTTAATAAGAGGTTCTCCATACTTTTTTATCATATTATCTGCATAAAAATATTAAAAGTTACTTATATTTCCAAGATGTTTTTTTTCAAGTAAAAAATATAACAATAACACACATCATTATAAAACCAATACTTTGCTATGCTCTCAATTATACACCATTATATTATATTTATAATTTGTACTACACCTCGTTTCGAGCTACTGTCAGTGGATCGCGGCGACCAAATCGCCCGTTTGAACAGGTCTATTGAAAAACCACGGTTTAATTATAGCTCGCTGACGCGGTTATCCGATCAAGAATTGAACATGAGCGGTCGCAGGTGGTCGTCAGCGACGCTCGGCGGCGCGGTTTTGCCTGTATGAATACGCCAATTGAATAGCCCATGTTTAATATTGTAGGCGGTTATCCGCCGCGGATAAAAACCGCGACCGCGCGCGGCCAAACCGCTCAGTGTGTATAACCTTTATACGATCGGAGGATAGGGTTTGAGTACCAGGGTCGCATAGACAGTTGCGACTTTTCTCAGTTTCGATGGCAGCGGCGGCAGTAGCTACGCGTTCAACGGCCGTCACGATCATAGCATACGTTCCTGTTACATTCTGTTACATTCTGGTAGTCGTCGTCTGCAGTGTTTGAACGTCTACAACGTCGTCACAACGTTACTGAGCGAACTGAGTAAACACTAAACAGACATGAGTTGCATGACATTTTAGCAAACTTTTCTATAAAAAAGAAGTCAATGGTCATTATTAGGTACAATCTATAATCGATTTGCATGCCGATATTAATAATTACAAAAATTACTTTGTTAAAATCTGCCTTATAAATTAAATGCAAATAATGCAATAGGTACTAATGGGTAAGTAATATTGATTTGAGTTGGATGATTAAAAAGCCGGTTCCACCCAACAAATTCCTATAGTTTTGTCATAATTTCTAGTTACTTGTAATTTTTAATAATTAGTAATTACTGTTGTAATGTAGTAGATTTGTTAAATTTGAATTGAATAGTATTTAGAAAAACTATTTAGAGCGAAGATTAAACATAATATGTCTACAAAATAATTTTACAATTTTTACGAAATTCCCTGGTTGTAAAAATAAGTACAGGGCATTTTTAAAAGCACCAACTATAGATCCAATTAGTTACCTAAACTCGCCCTTGAACTTAAAGATCGTATTCTTTGTATTTTGTTTACAATTAATAATGTAGTTAACTTTATCTTACATCAATAATTCTATTAAGATATTCAGATATTGTACGAGGTGTTTTTAATAATAATAATAATTTTGTATTTACGGAGAATACAACTCAATTTTATATATGCATAAAAAGTTTGATAAATAATACCTACAACTTTAAGGTATGTATAATTAATACATTTAACATTTATGATTTGTAATATATAATGATAAATAACAATACATTTAATAATGATGGTAATTACAGCTTAGAGCTAGATTTTGTTTTAAATTGTTTATGTATTTAAATTTTTTAAATTAAAAATATCAATATGTAACTATTAACATTAAGATATAAGCAGGTATAATACGAGGTGATTTTTTTGCTAATTTTTATTTTTTGATTAAATGTACGATGTACCTTTATATCTTGTATTGATTGTTTATTTTAAATTGAATTGTTTTAAGAAGTTCTGGACAATCTAAATGTTCTATAATTAACAAGATTATAATATTGTACAAATATTTAATTATTTATGTTTAAATTAATTAATTTTAATTTTACCTTTATCCATTTCGTGTGATGCAAATGCCAAATACCGGAGTATCAATGGATAGTGCAACGATTTGAAAACCCCATGGATTGGCGCTTCTATAACCCCACATGTATGAATATGCGATCCTATGATTATGGTAAGTGCTGCATTAAAATAGGTACTTAAGGAAATAAATGCGATATGATCATTCAGATAATTAAATCATTGTTAAATATTTTTAAACACTGAGTTAGAATAACCGAAAAGTAATAAAGAAAACCCTACATTGACATTTCGATATCCAACTACAAACAAAATATTGTAAAAAAATGTTTATTTCGTATCCCCATCACAGAGTTATCTAGCTAAAACTACTTTTGAAAAAAAACGTTAAAAAATAAATCACAGCAAAAATTATTATATAGGTATAAATTAATAAAATCACCAGTAATTTATATTTCAAATTATTTATTAAATATAATTTAATAAAATGCATTGTGGTGAATACACGTGGTAATCTCATTTTGTAGGTATATTTAGCGTTGCATAAGAAAATGATCATAATATTACTAATAAAGCATATAAATACTATAAACTATAGAGTATAATAGGTACTGAATGGCAGCGTATAACATCTGATTTCAACTGTTCACAAGAGGATGTCAGCGCAAATATAATATTGTTCTATTTTTTTCTCTCCGATTTAAATAATAATAAATAATTAATACCTATTTGTTTTTTTTAAACTTACGCGTTACTTAGAATAAAAAGCAATCACCTAAAATCTTTTTTTTCCAATCGTTTTAGAGTAATCTTAGAGTAATATTATAAGTGTTTGATTGTTTAACATGTCAGTTTTATATTTTTATTATTATTGATATCAGCCTCTAGGTACCTAGATAGTAGATAGGTATAATAATTATAACCACAGAATAGATAAAATTGTTTTCATCTATTCGGCGATACAAGTTTATACAACCATTTATTTATAAACTATCGTCTATCACTTATCATTCTGATTTTACATGTTAATATCTATAATACGACTATTGTCTATTACTTAGATAGATACCTAATTAACATAGACAACTGACGATTACCTATCCGCCCCTTTTTAAATTAATTAATTGACTAATAATCATACAAGTATATAGTGTTATAAATACTTATAAGTTATTATTAGGTACTATTTAATATTTACGTACAATCCAAGGCATTAGCCGGAAACGGACAAGAAGTTGAAATTGGAAAAACCATGAACAGCTATTTGAATAAAACGTGGATTATAATTATTATATTGGGGGGGGGGGGGTCAAAGCCTCTAGCCCCAAACCTCATGTTTAAGGGTTAATTGTGGCACTGTGGAGACTTGAAAATAGCTGATGTGAGTATACGAAAGGAACAGACTACATGCACAGACCACAGATTTATGATTTAATTTAATCTGTGTTCAGGCACGTAAACAGTGGGGAGGGGGGTATTAATAACCCCCCGAAAATTAATAGTTGTGTAATTTATTTATATCAATCATCGATAACTACAATAACTGGTCGGTGAAAATTTGTTTATGAACCAAACCCGAAAATTTTTTTGTGTATGTGCTTGACTGTGTTACAGCTCTATTGTGGTGTGGGACTGTGGGGCAAGGGTAGCCAACCTCATATACATGAGACTTGGGAGAATAAGGTGAAGTAAAAGATTATTCTAAAAGCCACCACAAAAATAGACAGAAAATGGCGGTGTACATGAATTCCTAAATATTTCCATAATTCCTTTATCTATGAAGACAATCAATTGTAGGATTAAAAAAATTAATGTTATATCAGCTGAGTTACTGGTTCTATTTAAATTTTATATTAACTGTATCTAGATACCTACATAATTTTAAAAAATTATCCTTTCTATGACCTATTATATATATTTTGTTATCTGGGCTCAAAACTGTATAATATATTGTTCATTGATATCAACGGAAATCAAAATTATTTCAATATCATTGAGTATTAAAATACGTTGCATGACACCATAACATACAACTTTTGCTACTTCTCTATAGTAAATATTTAAGAATGCAAACAATTTGTAAGTAGAATGATTGAGTGTAAAAACTTATGTGTTTCAAGTATAGTAAAAGTTTGGTAACACATTTGTAATTTTAAACAATAAAAAATATTGAAAATGGATACTTTTTTTAACCAGTGCACCGATGCACCACTTTTCAGATCTTCTTATATATATTTATGTAACAGTTTGTCAATTTATCAAAAAAAAAAAAAAAGAGAACAAATACAGTCTATTAGTAGATTACTTACAATACTATATAAACAAAATATTACAATTTAAGATTATTGATAAAAAAATATAATATTATCCAATCAATAAAGTAGTTGTTACATAAGAATTTAGAACAAAACAAACATTTATTTTGTACCATCATTATTATAATATTTAGAATCACAACCTAACTGTCAATATTGAACATTTAATCCCCCAACGCAGAGAAATAGTCTTGATATACTTGTATATAGTGTTCTTTTTCGGATGGTGTCATTTGACTAATGGCATCTGTCATATTCACTACTTCTGTTATTGGTACACGTCGACCAGCCACACTTACCAAAGGTACATCTTCGTCATCTTC